AAAATTCTTGGCTATAGTCAAACAATAAAATTTCAGCTTCAACAAAGAATCTTTAATCAAAAACACTAAGTGATGAAATGCCTGGGTCTAAAGCCAAATGGCTCATGGTATCAAAGTACAAACTTTCTCATTTTTGCACTGTTGACATCTTTATTTTAATCAAGATGGACACCTGGGTGACTCAGTGGTTGAGTGTCTGCCTTTGGCTCAAGTCATGATCCCAGGGTCCTGGGATCGAGTCCTGCATCAGGCTCCCCACAGGGAGCCTGCTTCTCCCTCTGCCTGTGTCTCTGCCTCTCTGTGTGTCTCTCATGAATAAATACATAAAATATTTTTTAAGTAAATTTAAGAAAAGTGGACTCATTTCAGAGAATTTTATGTCCTATCAATTCCCAACATTGGAAAATGTTTGTCAGATTTGGAGTGGTTTGACAGGATTGGGGATCTATGTTGAGGTGATAATGAAAAACTAGCCATCCTATTACTTGCCTGACATCAAGTTGAGTATGTGTGTGTGCATTTTTCAGTAAGGTCTTTGCCCAGTGTGGGGCTTGAAGTCACAACCCCAAGATCAGGGGTTACATGCTCTATAGACTGAGCCAGCCAGGAGCCCCACCATGTTGAGCATTCAAATATGATCTGATTAAATTCTTTCAGAATACGGTTACCTAGTTCTACTTTATAGATAAAAAGACTGAAACGGTTTAGACGTTGGAATATAACCGTATAGGAACAAGCTTTACTTTATTCTAAAATGCATGAAGTAAACACCACCAGTGTGTTGAGAAACCTTTTCCCTCTACCCTCCTAGTTTCCACTCCATGGGCCCTTGAGCAAACTGATGGATTAATGAGAGAAAGAGAGGGACGGAGAGAGAAAACAGTTGTAATTATGTAGATTTGCATGGGATTCTCACAAGGAATTGACTCAAAGAGCCAGATGATTGAGGTTTATAGGATCTTAGTCTAAACAACGGAAAGGGGTTTGGGACTTCTGGAGTTGGGAGGGAAGTTACAGAAAAGTGAGGGAAGAGAATGTATAAGGAAGGGTTGTTTCTGAAGTGGTAAGAGTTGCCTCCAGGAGTAGTTTTGTTCCTGTTAAGGAGAAACTATTAAAAATGGAAATTTCCTTTAAACATGTAAGTTTTCTTTACAAAGAAGAGGTTAATACCCCATTATTAGGCAATGAAGGGGGATAAAGAACTTTTCCTGTGTCTGCTGATTCTCATCGGCCCTTGAGTCAAAATAATCCACATGCCCGGGCACCTGAGTGGCTTAGTTGGTTAAACATCTGATTCTTGATTTCAGCTCAAGTCATGATCTCAGGGTCATGAGATCCAGCTGCAATGCCCAGAATGGAGCCTGCTTACGATTCTCTCTCTCTCTCAAAGAAAGATTTTTTTTTTCTATCTAATCTATCTCCATACGCCGATGAGACATATTTTGGGGTAGGTGGTATATTTTGGCACTCTCCAAGCACCTCTACCTACTTCTTGAAACTGCAATCTCAAAAATTCATTCTGGTTGCTAAACATGGAATTTTCTCCTCATAGTAGCTTCTAGGATTACAGTTTTTAGAGTCTAATCTTTTCTCTCTCTGGATGTTTATGGTTTTGACCAAATTATTTGTTCCCACTCTTATACTTTTCACTGAGAGGTACCAGGTCTGTGTAATTATTAAATGTGTAACATTTTACATACCCAGGGCTCCATGCTTTATAAGACCGTGCCAACATTCATAATTCTGAAAAAAAAAAAAAAACTTAATATTTTTTTTTCAAATTTTCACATGTATCTTCCCTTGAAAAACAGAACTACATAATCACTTTAATAACTATGCATAAGAAGTTTAAATTTCAACATTGGTATCTTCCTCTTGTTTAATTTCTAGATAGAACCCTCAAACTGAATGATAAAGGATTGCATTTATTATCTTCTGTGCCCACTCTCTCCTTGAAGTTTGCTTTACAGATAGACTGCTAGAAATTCTGAAATGTGATATGGTTGGAAATGTTGTCTGAAGTCATCTAAGTTGTTTTAAAAGAAAAAGTCTTGATAATTGTTGCAGCACTCTCTCAGAAGCTCATAGAAAATACACTCTTATAGACTTTCTTTCCAATATTCTAAAAATCTTGATAATTTTATATTTACTGTTCCTTTCACCATTCAGTAAAGCTATTCTAGTTAATACTACCAGTGTTTATTTTTTGGTGCGCGCGCGCGTGTGTCTGTGTGTTAATCTAATGTGTTCACTATGTATTTTTTTTTTTTCTCTTCTCTTCCATTCACTTCTCTTTGATTCTTTTTTGGGAGTTCTCATAAATGCCCTCATCTCTTTTACCCTTCTAGCTCTGAATTATTTGCCCTTGCAGATAAACCTAACTAGTTACCTCCATTTCTTTTTACTTTTGAAATTTAATTTGGCATTTTTCCCTCCTGGAGTATCTTTCATCATCTTCTTTATTAATCTGTGTCCTTCTTTTCTTTGAGATTTAATTTACCCTTTCTGACGATGGTAATTTTATTCACCTTTATAAAATTTGTTGATGGCATAGTATATGGTAGGAGCTGTGCTATCTAGCATAGTTTTAGGGATATAGTGGCAGACACAGAAGAAGTCTCTAGTACAATAGCTCTCGAGGACAGAAATAAGCAGTACATACAATACGATGTGGTAAGAGCCACGGTGAAAGGAAAGGTCCGAGTTGTTAAGAGGCATCTGGGAGCATATAGAGGAAGCCTGAATCAAGATTAGGTTCAAGAAGAGTTTCTTCATCTGAATTAGACAAAGGGGAAGTGGTGAAGGAAGAATTTTCCAGGCATGTGAGGCACACACACAAGAGAGAGAGTGAGTGAGTGAGTGAGTGAGTGCATGGCACTTTAAAAGTGTTGAAGCTATTTCAGTATAACTGAGAGTATATTTATGTTACTTTCTGGGCAACTGCAAGCGCTTTTGGGGTTTCTGCTGTTTTTATGTTTTTCCTTCTGCTTAAAAATAGGACTTCTCCGTTCCACTTCCGTTTTAACTTCACACATCCCGTAATTCAGCTGGTAGATAATGGGTGTTTTGGACTGGCTATTGACAATTCTAGGTGCCTGGGACAGGTATATAAATGCATTTCCAAGTTGTCATAATGCGGGAGGATTGGTATATGTGCTTCTCTTATTTGGGGGGAAGTCAGAATATAATAATTATAGTGTTTTGTTGAAAGACATTCAGTTTCAGGTTACATTTGCTAAAGCGTGTAGCCTGGTCTATATGTTACATTAGCAGTTGTCCTCGGCAAAGACTATTCTGGGACAAACCACAACTTAGACTTTTACATCAGAGGTTTGGGCATTTATAATGAGAAAATGGGGCCTAGACAGCAAATGTTCTAGATCACTTTCTAGGTGAAGACACTGAGATCCAGAGAGGTAATGAAAGAGAGAACTGTAAATTCACTATGATGAGGAATTTTTTTGAAAGATTTGTTTATTTATTTTGAGAGAGAGAAGAGCGAGTGCACTGGGGAGGGACAGAAGGAGAGGGAGAGAAAAACTCAAGCAGAATCTGCACTGAGTGTGGAGCCCAACACAGGGCTCGATCTCATGACCCTAGGGTCACGACCTGAGCCAAAACCAAGAGTTGGAAAAAAAAAAAAAAAAAAAAAAAAACAAGAGTTGGTTGCTTAACTGTGCCATCCAAGTGCCCCTGCAATGAGGATTTTTTGCCACATTTGTCTTCATTTCTAGTATTTTTGAGAATAACTATTCTAGTTGTTTACCTTTTCTTTTTACATGACTTTATGTAATCAGTTTTTTCAGTTTTTTTTTTTCATTAATGAGCTAGCAAACATGGTATACAGATTTTTTTCAAGTTGAAAATCAAAGAACTATTAAAGGAGAAGATGTTTGAACCTTGGAACTTTCTTTTTAAGCCATTCTGAACAGAGCTAAAGTTTAAGGAATTCTAGAGGGAGAAAATAGAGATTTCTTTTAATTCTGGATACTTTATGGGAGACGGAGCTTTTATAAATTATTTTTGTGATCCACTTCCTCTCTCACTTTTACAAATAAAGATAAATCTTCAATTTGTTGCTTATCTTTGCTAGAGATTATCTTTGAGGAACAATAGTTTAAATGAATACTCATTATATTCCTTGTAAAAAGTCAATGCAAATATCTAGATCCTGTTATGAGTGAGGACCTTGAGGGACTCTGAAATTGCATTGGATCGTTTTTTAAGGATCTCTCAATAAGTGGGATAACTGACATCAGGACACAGCGATACCAGTGCTCTTCCTGGGCATTCTTTGCACTTGTCATAGGGAGAAGGGACAAGAGTGGGGAGGAAGGAAGAAGGTGAAAGGTAGAGGAAGAGGAGGGGAGGAGGCAAAGTGCTCCCTGTGTTGTATTTATCATCTGGCATTCACAGTGTTTACCACATACAGGATTGTTTTCAGTCTTCGTAAGAACCTTCTGAAATACGTATCATCATTTTCCAGTTGGGGAAACTGAGACTCAGAGAAAGTATAGCCCTCCTTGGTCTGCAGCTAGTACCAGAGATACTCCAAAGCTGGTCTTTCCACCACTACACAAAAGTGACTCCCAGGCTGTTCCTTATGTCTGTGGGCTTTTGTTTGTTTGTTTGTTTTTAATGAACAATGCAAAATTCACTTTATATTTTTTTTATTTCTGTAAGAGACGCAGATCGGGAACACTGAAAAACAAAGCTGGCTCTGCACCGTGGTATGTTGCTAGTATCCCCACTTGGGGAAAATGTAAATACAGTTTCTTTTTTTTTTTTTTTTTTTCTTTTTTCAAAGTGAATTCAAAGTGAATATCAGAACTGAAACAAAGCCACATTTCGTGCAGCACACGTTAATAGCAGAACGTTGATCAGGGGATGTGATCTCGTTTCATAGCAAAACTGGTCCTGCAAGCCCAGGTAATTCAGGAAGCAGAATGGTAATTATTCACGGCAGAAAGCAGGTGGTGTACTGTTACAGTACTACAGTAGGAAGTCAGAAGGTCGCAAAGCTTGCAAGGTACCTGACACAACCTGAAACTGCTTGGCCCCCTTTAAAAAGAAATAATAAAATGGGAGAGAATGAAGCAAGTTCACCTAACACATCTTTGCAAGGTAAGTGCCAACAGTCTTTGAAATGTTTCCAATCAGAGAATCAAGCAGCTTCTATTACAAAGTGTGTGTGTGTGTGTGTGTGCCCGCGCCCACCTGTACACACACACACACACACACACACGCACACGCACGCACACACGCACCTGCTTGTGCCCTGCCAAGCGAGTTTCAAGCTATGCTCTGAGGGTGAGGAAAAGAGGTGAGGATTTTTCCTGTTTCAAAAGAAGCTGGCTGTCTCTTGGGCTCAACAGCTTAACCGACACAAAAACCCAAATTGGTGGAGAGTGGGCAAAGCCTTACCTTTATTGTCCATTATAATCCCGGAGAAATGCTGTGGCCAACTTGTGGTGCGGATCTCTTCCGACATTGACACAGAATTGGGTTTTTTTTTTTTTTTTTTTGCCACTACTTGGGGAATTTTTATTTGTAACAAAGTTTTGCCATATCTAGGGTTTTCCAGCTAAGTGTCCTTGTCCTGATATATTAATATAACCAATTTTTATGGTAGAAAACGGGATCTCAGAGGAGAGCACAGCAGTTGGGAAAAGGGGGTTTATTTTACAGGTACCTTTGTCCTTTGAAGGGATTGGCTTTGTTGACATTGGCTTGTCTAGGCTTCTATGGTTAGGCTTGTTGATAGAGACAATACAAAGTTGCTCACATGTTTCACTATTTTGAGTGCAAAAAATTCCTTCTTAAAATTCAAAATTCACATAATGCTGATTTGCTGCTAGGATTTCTAATAGGCTTATGAATTATTCGTTGCCTTTACAAAGACATTTTGGTCAAGATATGTTTTTAATTGACTGATAATGACATTTTAGTTTTGTCCTTGTGATACTGCCACCAAGAAAATCCCTAAACCACCCAGTTTTCTATTTAGGTCATATAATCAAGCGTATAACTACATCTGTGAAATATAACGTGTATGAGAATAACAGTAAGATGATCACAGGCATGCCTGGTCATAAACTGTCCATTTTCTAAAGGTAAATTGTCCTACAGAGAATGCCTGTGTTTTTCCTTTATTTTCTTTAATCATTTCTCCACTAAACCTACCTAAGCATCCCAGAATCCTATTTTATTGCTGTATGTTTCCTAAAAAAAAAATTTTGTTAAATACTGCATAAAATGCTATTATCAACACTTTTAGTTTAAAGGTTAATACAAAAAGGAGTCATTTTAGTGCACTCTATTGAAGAAACACAAGCCAAAAGACTTATTTAGCTTGATTCTATGAAATGACTCACTTATATGTGTTTTATGGAAAAAATGATTTTATGTATGTGATCATAGCATATACTTTGTCTCTATAATGTCTTTTCTTAAAAAATATATGGGAAGTATTTGGATTGTTAATATAAGGATGATTTCATATAAAATGTGTATGACTCTTTGGCAACCACCTGACTAGCCTGCTGTATAGACTGATGCGAGCGCATCACTGTGTCTGGGTTCAGAGGTTTTAGTAAACTGAGGAGTAACCAGGGCTTGTCTCTCTTTGTGTCAGGATCATGGGAAATATTTGCTTTGTATTTTAGAGTCCTAGAATGTCTATAGATTTTGTTTTACTTTTTCCTCCGGAAAAGGTAACGTTATGTTATGGTGATATGTTCCACTATAAAAGGCGACTACATGTACACATGCATATACACGCACATATCCTTAATTTCAGAATTAATAATCGGTATATATCAGGAAAAAATGTATACGTTTTAAACAAGAGCTATGGTGAATAATTCGAATGTTATGGTTTGAGTTAGAAAATCATGTGCTAGATCCACAAACGTTCTGTGGCTGAGGGCCGCTTGTGAGATCGGTTCTATCTCCAGCTCCCTTGTGAGCTCAGTGAAAACTTTTCCACGGGGAACATGTTGTTCCATCTGAGTTGAAATGAACCCTTAATGGGTCTACAAATAGTTCAGATCCATCTTCCTGGAATATTGCAATGTTTTGATTCCAGTTATATTTGCCTTAAAATTAAGTGAATTTAGTAATCTGGAGAGAGCTAATGATAAGTGAGGGTTCTTCAATTGTTGGCTTTAAATTATTTCTGGATTTCTAATTATAAAGCAAAGTACTGTGGGGATAATTTGCAGCTTCTTGTGTGGAGGTAAGAGATTCGGTAAATGTAATATCCTATAAAATAGATCAAAATATTTTCTGGGATCTTCATTTCTGGAATGGTCTAACATTATTCTTTATGCCTTGCAACATCCTGTTCCAAATCTCACATTGAGTTTAAAAATTGTTGAAGTAGATGAAAAAGGCATTTTGAAATGTTTAATTTTGCCTTTGACTTAGCAAAGATTCTGAAATACTCTGAAATAATACAATTATTATCAGCTCAGCTGACAAATAAGCATGCTATAACAGAAATGACTGCATATAAATACTTTGTTTTGCACATTAAACATATGGATGATTTAAGTTTTTTGGTTGTGAAGATTGTAAGTGATAGATTATCATTAGAACTCGATCATGTTCTTTTAATAGTGGTTTTCTAATGACACGTGTCTAGATTGTGACCATGTCTCGTCCCAACGTGGAGGGCAAGCCATAGACATTGTCAAAGATGATCCATTTTAGTGCTGTTTCCTGTAGGTTTTATACCCAGGAAGCCAGTGAGGAGGGTACCCTGGTTAGTGGAGCCTCTAAGCAATCAGCAGCTATGATATCAGGAACTTATTTTTTTCCCAAATGAAAGTGAAGTTGTTCCAAGGTTATCTTCAGCTACATGTGAACAGATCTCAATTATCTTTTCAAACATAAAAAGCAATCTCTTCCTTTCAGTCCCAGCGAAAAGTAACTCTACAGAGAATAATATATGAGAAGGCTCATAATAGTCTCAGGATTCAAAAAAAAAAATAGGATTATCTAGCATTGGATAAAATGCTAGATTTCTTTTTTTTCTTATTTCTGAAAATATAAATAAAATATATAAAATAATGTGGCGACGGGAATGGGGACAAATGCTGAGCATTTTATCTGGTAAGGAAAGGCAGCAGCATCTCCTTCCACAGTCCCTGCAAACTCCCCTGTACCACTGAGTAGCACCTGGCCAGTCTGCGAGAGCGGTGAAAGGCCACAACGACTGAACAACAGGAGGGGGGCAACTTCCAACCAGGCAGGTGGCTCCCTGGGAAATTCCTCAGGTTAAGATTTCTCCAGAAGCTACCCTGGGGGCATAAAAGGGCCCCTTATCTGTATGGCGAGTCAGGAAGGACGTGCATTTTCTATTCCAAGATTCTTAGTAACAGGCAGAGCAGAGCCTGGTAGGGATTGTACGAAAGGGAAAGAGCCTGTCACTATCCAGCCGTGTCCCTAATGTCCCTCATCCACCAAATCCCTCCTGCCTCAGCAACTTAGTCCAGATGAGCTTTTTCCATTTTATTTCCCTCCTCTTCCTCCTTGGTCAAAGCATGTCGAAAGCCCTCTGCTTCTTAGAAAAGGATACGGTATATAAATCCATCTTTGGAGTGATTTAAGTAAAAGATACCTCTTGGGTTCAATGCTGAGACAACCTTGAGAGCGGTTTCCCTGAGTGGAAGTCTCCTGTGGACGGCCCACACACCCTTGTCACTCAGGCCATCCACTTATCAGCTGCTCAGATGTCTTTGAGCATCTTCTACTTATATCTCCCCTTCCTACCCCAGTTCTTGGTTTTCACGATCTAGGAAACCCCTCCTCTATAGGCTATAAAAGACTGGAGCTCAGGGGGAAAAAAAGGTCTCCAAGCACAGAAGGGTTGGCTAGACCCTGTGGAATCCAAGGCCAGGTCCAAAGAGCAATCAGCAGAGAAGAGAGGACCCTTCAACAAGGAGAATTTGGCTGTCAGAATTAGGGGAGGAAAAAAAAAAACTGTAGAATCTTAACATTTTCAGGGTATGAGGCAGCTTACAGAGCCTCAAGTCTGATATTTTTACTTTGTAGAATAGCAGACAGAGCCGATGAAGGTAAGAAAATTACCCTTGGTTTCTCAGAAGCAGTTGCCAAAACCTAGATCTCCACCCTAGCTGCCCAGACCCTGTAATTTTATAGAGGAATTTGGCACATTCCATTCTGGAGGCATCTGCTTTCCTATTTGAAAAGGGAAAAAAAATCAGGCTTATGAATACTTTCAATATTGATACCTTTTAGAGTCTCTCATTATGACCTGGAAAGGATTGTCCAGTATTCATTCAAGCAAACTATTATCCTGGTCCATCCAGCTGTGGGATTTTCCTTGACTATAAAAGTTGCATTGGCTTTTTAACTCAAGTTTCCTTGACTTTCCTCACAGCCAAGAGGAGTCCAGACACACAGGCATTGCATGTATCCTGTTTCTCATGATATAACCCTTTTTTTTTTTTTTTTTAAGGGAAATTATACTTATCCTGCTGGGCTATGAAAAGAAGAAAAAAAAAATCTAGGCAGGAAGGTGCCTTAGTGTCTGTGCTGCTAAATTGCAGCCGGAGGGCAGCAGTACTGTATCCCCCAACCTGTTATACTGGTTTGGTGTGCATGTTTACTTTCTGTGGTGGAGAAAGTATCTCTGCATTCATCATTGCAAACCATGCCTGTGAGTGTCTTGAAATCTTTCTAAAACCCCAAAGAGGACTGACCAGTTTATGACTCTTCCTTCCCAGCCTATAGAACCTTAACAGCATTTTAAAGAAGGAGAAGTGCAAGAAGCTCTTGTTTAACTTATCCATGTTCCAGGAGGAAGGCTTCCTTCCACTAGCTCTCCCTGATAGGTCAGGGCACTTGAAGACCTGAGACATTTTGGAGTTGAAATTTAATTATTAAGGCAAAAGGGCATTTTGGAGTTGGAACTTCCAGAAGCTCTGCTGAAGAGACCTTATTACATAAGGATAAATTTGAACACATTTGGAGCCAGTAAAATTGCAGAAAATGCAGAAAATGTCAAGGCATGAAATCCCAGGTGAGTCTGACCTAAGTGGGTTAGGCCAGGGGACTCATGAAGACAGCTAAGGGATTCCCCCCCCCAGATATCAGAG